GAGCTTCCCATTCCTAAAATTTCCAAGAGCTTCCCATTCCTAATATTTCCAAGAGCTTCCCATTCCTAAAATTTCCAAGAGCTTCCCATTCCTAAAATTTCCAGGAGCTTCCCATTCCTAAAGTTTCCAAGAGCTTCACATTCCTAAAATTTCCAGGAGCTTCCCATTCCTAAAATTTCCAGGAGCTTCCCATTCCTAAAATTTCCAAGAGCTTCCCATTCCTAAAATTTCCAAGAGCTTCCCATTCCTAAAATTTCCAAGAGCTTCCCATTCCTAAAATTTCCAGGAGCTTCCCATTCCTAAAATTTCCAAGAGCTTCCCATTCCTAAAATTTCCAAGAGCTTCTCATTCCTAATATTTCCAAGAGCTTCCCATTCCTAATATTTCCAGGAGCTTCCCATTCCTAAAATTTCCAAGAGCTTCCCATTCCTAAAATTTCCAAGAGCTTCCCATTCCTAATATTTCCAAGAGCTTCCCATTCCTAAAGTTTCCAGGAGCTTCCTAGGGAAGCCACCAGGAATGAGGTGAACTTTAAACCACGGGGGTGGAAGGCTGGGAAATCAGCCTGGGGTGGTTTTTATTTCATTTTTTTTTGAGAGGCAGCACCCAAATCACGCCCAATTTGCCTTTTTTTAATTATTGTTCTTGGGTTTTTTTAATTGTCTGGGGCTGTTTTGGGGTCACCGGTACAAAATTCCATCTTTCCAAGCCCCTGGCACCTTCTCCTCCTCGGCTCTTCAGGCGACGCAGCTCCGGGAGCAGCCCCGGCACCTCTCGGGGTGCCCCTAAAAGAGGGAATTTTGGGAATTCTAGGAATTCCGGGACAGCTTTGCCGCCCCCCTCTTCCATCCTCTTCCCCCAGAGGGAATTTCAGCGCCGGGATTAAGGAAGGAGAGGCTGGGCTGGGCCAGAGAGCCCGGGGCTGTCCTAAGAACAAAGCCAGGCCTAAAATCATCGGCTTTGTTCTCATTCCTCTCCTCCACAACCTTTTCTTTTTTTCCACAAATCCTATTTTGGGGTTTCTCCACCTCTAAAGGGCAGCACGGCACCGGTGGGGTTAAAGAGAGGAGCCCTAAGGGCTCTACACAAACCTTCTTGGAGAGAGAGAAAAGTCAAATACACGGGGAAAAAAAATAAGAGCGGAACCCCCCCGTGGGGGGAGAGTATCAAATATTAAAATAGTTTTAATATTTAGAAGGTGATACTCACTTGAGTTTGAAATCAGCCCCAATTGATGTGTGCAGCAGAGACAAATATGGGACAAATCAGTTATAATAATCAAAAATCAGCAGGGATGGAGGAAAAAAAAAAAGGGAATTAAAAAAAAAATAAAAAAATGAAGAAGGGAGAGGGGAATAAAGGTAATTTCTAGAGGGATTTGAAATCCAGCCTGGACGCCTCTGCCCCGGGCAGGGCGAGGAGCGGGGTCGGGATCGGGGTGCGGCCGCCTCCGTTGGGGTTTGCTGGGGTGGGGGCTTGGGAAGGGGACACCTCCCTGGGGGCTGAAGGCTCCTCCCGGGGAGCACCCCGGGGTGCTCGCGGCTCCGTCCGGGAATTCGGCTCCGGCGAGGCTCGGGTTTGGGGGAGCAACGGGCTCGGTGCCGGTGCTGCTCGGGGTTCCCAGCGGGATCGCAGCGCTCATGGAGGGGTGGAGGAGCAGGAGTTGGGAAAAATGCAAAATTCAACCAACGGCTGCAACTGGCACGGCTGGGAGCTCTCCTTGGGGCGGCGGATGCCTTGGAATGCCTTGGGTGCTCTGCTTGAAGGAAGGAGACGGGCAGAACTTCACCATGACCTTCATCCACCTTCACCTTCCTCCATCATCATCTTCTTCCACGGGGACCTTCATCCAGCATCACCTTCATCCATCACCATCTTCATCCACCGTCACCTTCATCCACCATGACCTTCACCCACCGTGACCTTCATCCACGGTCATCTTCCTCCACCATCATCTTCATCCACCTTCACCTCCACCCACTGTCAGTCTCCTCTGGCTGCAGCTGGTGCTCCCCAAAATTGGGGTTTTTGACCCAAATCCAGCTCCTGGGAGAGCAGCCATCTCCACTCCCTTCCAGGAGCGCCCGAGCTCCACAGTTCGGATCTGGGATCGTCCAGGACCCAAGAGCAAAACCATGGAAGGACCTTCTGCTCAGAGCCTTCGGCCTCTCCTTTTGGAAAAGGAGTGGGAAGAGGAGGAGAACGGTCCATGGAGGTTCCGCACCCAGCTGGGACATCCCGGGGCGTCGCGGCCACCGCAGAGCACAGAACCACCCCAGCTGCTCCCTGGACCTTCGGTTTCCATCGGCAGCAGGCTGGAGCGACCCGAAACGTCCTTTTTATTCTTCCATCATTCCCAATTCCTCCTTATCCACATCCAGGTCTGGCTGCTCCAGGCTGAGATCCCGACTCTCCGTCCGCCGCGTCCCGGGAAGCGCCGAGGCCTTCATCCGGGGAGGACGAGGCTCTTCCTCCTCCCTCTCCACGACCCCCTCGGGGAGGACGGTGAGGACGAGGTCTCTGCAGCCCGGGTCTCCTCGCGCGTCGCGGGCCGGCGATCCCGTGGGGTCCACCCAGGCCAGGACCCTCCTCCCACCCCCGGCTCCCGCGCGGGCGGCCCCGGGGTGAACTCACCTGGGTCGGGGGCGACGCACTCGCACTTGTACATGGTCACGTAGTCGGGCTTGAAGTCGGAGTTGATGGGGTAGTACTTGAAGGCGCCGATCATCTTCTTGATGGCGTCGTAGATGAAGATGAAGCTGATGAGGGTGGAGAAGCCCTCCTCGGTGAAGCGCGTGATGTACTTGATGATGAAGCTGGCGTCGGTGGCCACCAGGATAAGGCACTGCAGGGCCGAGTGCAGCCCGATCCACAGGCGGAATTCCATGTAGTCGATCCCGTTGCCTCTGGAAGAGGGGACGCGCGGCGCCGTGAGAGCGGCCGGGGGCACAGCCCAGCCCCGCGGGGACGGGCCCTGGTGGCCCCTGGGGTGGCCCAGCACCCACTTGCTGAAGTCGAAGAGCAGCTTCTCGAAGATGAGGATGGGGCCGGTGCTGCTGAGGATGATGAGGGGCTGCCCGGCGAAGAGGCAGAACATGGAGCCGGCCATGGCCGTGCCCAGGAAGCTCTCCATGACGCCCTGGGGACGGAGCAGAGGTGGGTTACGGGGGTCCCGGCCCACGCCACGACCCCCCGGTGGAGATGGGGCTGAGGGACCTGGGCCTGGCCCGCCCGGCACGGTTGGGACCGTGTCCCATTGCTCCCGGCGTTGCCGTGGGGACATCCCGGCGTTCCAGGGCTGCCAGTCCCACCTGGCCGAGAACGTCCACCCCCAGAAGCTTGGCATGGCACAGGTAGGGTAAAATCCATCCCATGGGTCCCATCCCATTCCATGGATCCCATCCTGGGCAATCCCAGTCCCATGGATGCCATCCCATGGATCCCATCAATTCCATCCCATCAGTCCCATCCCAGTCCCATGGATCCCACTGATCCCATGGATTCCATCCCAGCCCATCCCATCCCATTCCATGGATCCCATCACATTGATTCCACGGATCCCACCCCACTCATCTAATGGATCCCACCCCACTGATCCCACAGATGCCCCACTGATGCCATGGATCCCATCCCACTGATCCCATGGATCCCATCACATTGATCCCACAGATCCCACCCCACTGATCTCATGGATCCCACCCCACTGATCCCACTGATCCCACCCCACTGATCCCATGGATCCCAATCCCACAGATCCCATGAATTCCACCCCACTGATCCCACAAATCCCATTCCATGGATCCCACGGATCCCACCCCACTGATCCCACAGGTGCCACCCCACTGATCCCATGGATCCCACCCCACTGATCCCATGGATTCCACCCCACTGATCCCACAAATCCCATTCCATGGATCCCACAGAAGCCACCCCACTGATCCCACAGATGCCACCCCACTGATCCCACAGATGCCACCCCACTGATCCCACAGATGCCACCCCACTGATGCCATGGATCCCATCCCACTGATCCCATGGATCCCATCACATTGATCCCACAGATCCCACCCCACTGATCCCATGGATCCCATTCCAACCCCACGGGTCCCACCCCACTGATTCCATGGATACCACGGGTCCCACCCCACTGATCCCATGGATCCCATCCCACTGATCCCATGGATCCCAATCCCATGGATCCCACCCCACTGATCCCACTGATCCCATGGATCCCAATCCCATGGATCCCACCCCACTGATCCCACGGATCCCATGGATCCCAACCCCACGGGTCCCACCCCACTGATCCCACGGATCCCATCCCAATCCCATGGGTCCCACCCCACTGATCCCATGGATCCCAATCCTACAGATCCCATGGATCCCAATCCCATGGGTCCCACCCCACTGATCCCACGGATCCCATCCCAACCCCACGGGTCCCACCCCGCTGCTCCCCGGGCCACACCTGGTAGTTGTCGGTGGCGTCGCCCAGCAGCCCGCCGAAGGTGATGGCGTTGGTGATGCAGCCCAGGTAGATGAAGAGGATGGCGGAGATGGACTGGATATGGAAACCTTCGTAGAAGTCGCTCGGGAACCAGGGCAGCTTCCTCTTGATATCCAGGTAGAGGCCACCACAAAACCTGCGGAGACACCGCCGAGGGCCCGGTGACTTCCAGCAGAACGGAATCGCAGAGTCCTGGAGAGGTTTGGGTTGGGAGGGACCTTAAATCCCACCCCGGCCATGGCAGGGACACCTCCAACCTGGCCTGGGACACTGCCCAGGATGGAGCAGCCGCAGCTCCTCTGGGAATTCCATCACAGCCAGGAATTCCAACCTGGCCTGGGACACTGCCCAGGATGGAGCAGCCACAGCTCCTCTGGGAATTCCATCACAGCCAGGAATTCCAACCTGGCCTGGGACACTGCCCAGGGTGGAGCAGCCACAAATTCCATCACAGCCAGGAATTCCTGCCCAATATCCCATTTAAATCTCCCCTTTCCCACTGGGAAGCCATTCCCTGTGTCCTGT